GAAGAGGATATTTTTGTGAGAGGTGTAGTTAGGACTGAAGTCTATATTCTCTTGAATATAGAGTAGGTAGAGGGGGAATTGGAGAGACGTCCCTTAGGGGAGGGAAATTTGCTTGAAAATAACTTTAGTAGGGAGAGACTAAAAGATAAAAAATGAAAATAAGAGTGAAATATAAGAATATAAGAATAATATAAGAAAGTTAATATAGTGAAAAGGTGAATATAAGGGGAGGTGGTGAAGCCACTGATAAAATTGAAAAGGGAAGTATAATCTCCTATAAAAAAATAGAGAGAGATATATAAACGTGTGTAGACTGAAGTGAAGATAAGGATGATATGGGTACAGAGTTATGTTATTATGGGTGGTGGTCAGTTCATCGTGGGCCAATGTAATTTGAGGAGCAGATAATGTTGTAGAAGACGTGGAAGTGATCAAGTCCTGTCGAGGATCAATATGGTAGTGTTTGTARAATCTTCAGTCAGATGGTGATGGTAAACTTAGGGTAAAGGTGTTGTAGTGGAGGCTGGAGGGTTTCTTCAAGGCTTTAAAGAAGTATATACATTCTTAATGACGGATCCAGAGAGATGGCAGGGCTTGGTGGCTGGAAATTATTGTTGCTGTGTCCTGGAAGGATGGATGATGGGATGAAGATGGACATCTTGGGGGGAGGAGACTGTAGGTGGATTAGTCGTGGTTGTCTTGAGGAACTAGTTGAGATGTGTAATTTTGGGAACCAGCTGAGAACAATTTCGGTCGATGTAGAGAGGATCCAAGTGGCTTTTGGGTATAATGCAAGTTTTGGCTCGAGGGGTAGTTAAGGCCATTTGTGTAATGCAATGGGATGTTATGTGTATGTGTTAGAGGGATTGAGAGGAGGAGAGAGGGAAGGAAAGAGTTGTTATTGAAGGCGTAGAAGAATATTAAGATAGGAATTTGGTGTGAACTAATGTATCTCTAAGATTGCGGTGTCTTTGAAAGGCAGTGATAGGGGGCGTGGAGAAAAGAGGAGAAAGGGAAGGATCATTAGAGATATGGTGCCGGTGGGAGAGTAGAATTCGAGAAATGTTGGGGAGGCCTTTATGAAAAGGTATGACAAAGGRAAGGATGGGGGAGGATATGTTGGTCAGGGGGGATTTTGGTTTATTGTGTTGGAGGGGTTCTCTTTGAGTGAGGTGGAGGACTTTATGGAATTGTGAGTTGATTATGGAGTCGGTATAGCCTCTTTTAAGTAAAATGGATCGAAGATGGTCCAGATATTTGTGAAATTAAGTGTTGTCAGTGATGAGGCGTCTGTAACGTAGTGTTTGGCTGTAGATTGTACTGATTTTGCAATTGAGAGGGTGGTGGGAGGAGTGGTGKAGGAGGAGRGTGCTGTCAGTTGGTTTAGTGCATAGGGTTGATTTGAGATGTCCCGTTGGGGTGAGAATAATGGTTGTATCCAGGAAGTTGATAGAATGAGGGGAGGAGGTATGTTGGGACTTGATGGTAGGTTGGAAGGAATTAAGGTGTGTGGTAAATGTGTTAAGAGTGGAGAGACCATGTGTCCATATCATGATATATCATMAATATATCTCTTCCATATAAAGGGTTGGAGGTTGTTGGGAGAGGAAAGGAGTGTGTTCTGAGATCAGTAAGGAAAAKATTGGCGTAGGATGGGGCCATACATGTGCCCATAGCTGTGCCTTGAGTTTGGAGATAATGTTTGTTGTCAAAAGAGAAGAAGCTGTGGTATAGTATACATTTCATGAAGATTAAGAAGAGTATGAGTGGTGGTCTGTGTGTCTGTGTTTATGAATCTTGTTGAGCATGTAGAAGAGAGGAGTTCTAGCTGGGGAGGGTGAAAGAGGAATCGAAAAGTATTGGGGCCTATGAGTTTATGGGAAAGTATTTTATTAAGGTGTAGTGTAATAGTGTTAGTTAAGGGAGGAATAGGGTCATGAGGGATGGGTTTGTAGTAAGTGGGGTCCTCAACTGGCGTAAAGCTTCTTTGMTGTAGTCATCTTTATGTCAGAGAACGATGGAATCACCTTTGTCAGCTGGTTTAATTATGGTGTTGGGAWGTCGTTTCAAGTGTTTAAGTGCTGTTTGTTCATTGGGTGTAAGGTTGCAGTGGTTTTGGGAGGAGGTTCTGGGTGTATTGCAGTATTGTTTGGAAAGATCTTCCCAGCCAAAATCGTTATATATTCTTAAATTATGACTTTTGGGGATGAGAGGTGTCCATGAACCGTGGTTTCTGAAAGGGGGTGGCGTAAGTGTGAAATGGAATTTAAGGAAGGTGCGTCGGCGGACGTTTTTAAAGGAGTTATTGAGGATGTTATGTGAGGTGAGAGAGAATGTGAGTACAAATTTGAGGCCCTTGTGAAGAAGTCGTGTTTGCGAGGGGGTGAGGTTGTGTGTGTTGAGGTAAACGATAGAATATTCCCATTCACAGTTCCGTGCGCCGTCTTGAAAGGTAGCCGAGCCTTTGCATCGAAGCGAGACGAACGGTGAGCTTGCAATAATAGAGACCTTTTTTTAAAACCTTGGACAATTATTCACAGGTTCCTATCATTGCAATCTCACCGTTCGTCTCGCTTCGATGCAAAGGCACGTTGGAGGTGGTAGGGGTGGGACGGGTACGGGATTCTTGGTGAATACTGTCAGGAGCTACGTTAAAGTTCATGAATTTGCGGATTTGTGTGGTGTCGTGGGGAGGATGGGTGGAAGGGTGATGTTTACGTAAGGGGGGTGAAGTAGAGAAGGAGGAAAAGTGGGGGGAGAGGGTTAGAGGACAGTAGGGTGGGGACTGTAAATAGARAAGGGGTAAGAGTTGAGCGGAATGAAGTGGATTGTGGATGAGGGGTAGGAGGTAGGGTTGGGGTGGGGTGAGGTGGAAGGGTGTGTGTGAGGAGTAGTGGGAACGGTAAAGGAGGGAGTTGGAAGAATAGAATGACTGGTTGTGCATGGAGGTTGGTAAGCAGGGAGCGGGTTTGGGTTGTGTTCTCGCTTCTTCGGTATGATCTTCYTTTAGGGTGGATAATTTGCTGTCCAGATAGGATTTGAATTGGTCAAACGTAGCTGCAAATGGATCCACATATCCTTGAGGAACACCCCGAATAGAAACAGTTCTTCTCGCAGCAGAGTTTCTTCATCACACATTACAAGTTTGTTTTTTGTTGTTTTTTTTTGAAAACTAGAGGCGTAGATGGTAGGACGCGAATGACTAATAKTACTCTTTAACTGAATTTATATTAGCGTCCCGCTAATGAATTATTTTTGTTTTTGAATTATATATGAATTATATACCAGCGCACTCCTTGCGCTTGTTACGTAGCCCATGATAGATACATTTATTTTTCTTTCATCAAAATAATATTTGGGATGTTTCATCTTATAATGTGACTTTTCACTCATCTTTGTTACCTCCGTAATTACACATTCCTCTTTGTCAGGCAATCCAAATTTGATGATCTGCAACACCTTAGAAAGAACAGGATCCTTTCAAGATGGAACTGAGATGTCTTTGGCCGTTGATGGAAGGTCATTTACATAAGTGAAGCGGAAGATGTCCCTCTCTTCAGGAGTGTCAACCTTATCGACAGGCTTGCGGAACTTCATCTTAAGATCCAGGCACATCACTGTAGGCAACCAGCAGCTAGCGAAGGTATGGAAGTCTTTGCCCCAAGTATAGGGAGTAGGGGCTTGTGATCAGTTCCCAGAATGAGCTTTCTGCCAAACAGATATTGGTGAAATCGTCTAACACCATAGACTAAACCTGAAGCCTCTATCTCAATCTGTCCATAGTTCCTTTCGCTACTAGACATAGTACGAGAAGCAAAGGCAATTGTCCTTTCTTCACCATTCTCCATCACATGATTGATTGCAACAATGTAGTAGGTGGAGTTATCACGGACTAAAGGTAAAGTGGCATCATAGTGCTTTATCGTAGGGTTTCTTGACACTTGGGTTTCCTTTTCATGAATTAGCTATAATTTCAAAGGCAAGTTAAACCCGTTGGCTTTTAATGTCTCGTAGTCTTGTTTATAGTGTTGACGATATAGCTGCTTTAGCACATCATTCGTCCAGCAAACAAGCTCGGAATCGTTCTTTGACTTTCTGCTACACTCGCCATGTATTCCATCATGATTTATCGGTGTGCTGCAAACTTGCTGGTCTTCCATTTTGCCTATACAGCTATTCCCCTGTTAACTCCATCACATATAGATGCACTAACCACACCTGCTCTTTGCCTATAAAAGTCTTTCCCAGCGCACCTCCCATCACACAAAGTTGCACCCACCATACCTGCTGCACTACCAGCTTTGCCTATACTCTTCCCTTGTTCACCTCCCATCACACATAGATGCACCTACCATTCTGCTGGTCTACCAAGTTTGCTTATACGGATCTTCTCCTGCCCACCTTCCACCACAAATAAATGCACCACCACAACTGCTGGAATCAATCAGGTTTTTTTACTGGAAAGCCTGAAAACACAAAGTTTACGAGCCCATCTATTTATAAAATGTTATGTAAATTGCCTTGATTGACTTCATTAAAACCTAGTTTGACGCGAATTGCACCATTCAGTGCGTTATTAGGAACGATTGTAATAAATGTTTCATTATTCCTGGCCATCGTGAAGGATGATAGATGTGCAACTTTCTCTCCAAAAGAGTGCACGCCATATATACTTATAAAACAATTACTAGCTATATAGCGCTCCCTGTGATGATTGAATGATAAAACAATTATCGAACTCGGTTATCACAAAATATCGTGATTTGTTATTGTCTCGCAAGCAATTATTTGCCCTTGCTCGCCACTAACAAATCACGATATTTTGCTCAACCTCGTCCAATAATTGCTTATTGTTTTCATAAACGTATTATTCAAGTATCTTCTCACATTTATCCATACCCCACAAACTTCTGTTCCTTTCCTTTTTTTTTTTTTTTTTTTTTGAAGCGAGACTTTTTGTGGATTCTAGTACAGAAGAAAGAGGAAAAATAACTAACAAACGCGATACTTGTATCTTTAATGATTTATTGGTACCTTATCTATTCATCACCATAACATTTTTTACACCACGCAATCTCTAAGTAACCAGTCAGTTTACTTGACACACACTACAAGACTTCATGTTATATAAGTGATGACTACGAATGCAAGGTCGGATTACTTGCTACACACCACACAAGTCAGTTCACGACCGTTGAGGTACTTCGCACACGGCAGAGTTCCACATTTGCTTTCTACCGGGTACAGCAGCGCGCCATTAAGACTCCTCCCACTTCCAGGAATTCCTTCTGCTTCCTCATCGACACAGATATACTCACTCGGATGATGGCCACGGAATGATGTCATCAGGTAGCCTTTGTACTCTTGCTTCCATCCCGCGGGACACACGTTTGTTGCCGGGATCATAAGCTTGGTACTGCGGGTCTTGACATAACAGACAGAGCAAGGAGCATCTTGGTCGTGGAGGTTTTTATTATTGAATGGATTAAAGGCCTTGACCTCGTATTCTGTGCCAAACACGATCCCACCTTTTTGAAACCTTTCCTTGTATTTGCCATATTTGGGGTTCTCTGGCAGACACAGGTAGTTCGTTCCTCCGCCTTTCATTTGGTAATATTCTCCTCCTACACGACCTGCGTAGATGAATTGATATTTATGGGCTGTAAATAYTTTTAATTTACGCAAAGCAGTTTGTGCCATTTTTTAAAGGGGCGAATCAAAGATTTACTATGGGAAACAGTGCCTACTAAGCACAATAAATCCTCCTACCCTACCCCTACCCAAGCCCAAAWAGAATAATATACATCTTATGCTATACAGAAAAGGGATTCCTCTGGAGGCCTCCTTGGATCTTTGAAAACGTCTTTGACACTCCAAATCTTTTAATAAAGTATCACTATTATTTGTTGTTTACATTCATCATTAAAGCATGGTCCTCACTAGCGACATAAACCCCTTCATCTTATGCTCGTGCTTATGCTTAGAACAGTTTTCGTATGACTGTGAAAAGGGAACGCCACGAACACGGTGTCCAAATAAGTGACCAACCCCACTTTTTTCTTGCCAGGCCTATACACCAAATACCGTATTCCACACATGACGTCAAAATTGTGYGTCATGGGACTGAAATGCGGACGAGCCAAACCTAGTGCACATGCTAACATACTGTAACGATGTTTTGGGATTTTTTACAACTCATTTTTTCTTGCTGATATTCTTCTTTTCCATGTAACCAAAGCCTTTATTTACAATATTTGTCAGTATATTGGTATTTTAGTAACCCTGAAAAATGCTATTGAAATATGGCGAACAATTTAAATGACGATTGTTCTGAACTGACTAGCTTCGTTTTCACGTGGAAACACGTGTTTTTCAGATAAGCCAGTCGGAAAGCAACAATAGTTATTCAARATGGTYGCCATATTTCCATTCCCTACTGTCTGGGCGCAAATCCATGTTATTTTCAATTTTGAAATCTTACCTGAATAAACCAACTCGCTGTCACCAAGGCACTTTGTTCTTCCCCAGCGAATATACTGTAGACCCCCTGCATTGTCACCCTTGSGTCCCACAGGACCTCTCGCTCCAGAGCTCCCTGGGTCACCTGTAGAAAAATTGGGAAATTCATTTTTCGACATTTTTTACCATTCTGCATGGGTTAATATTACCCAATGTTTTCATGAATTTCTGATAATTTTCAAACCTTTCCCATATTCGACCCCGATAAACAAACCATCATTTTCAAGGTGTGAAARTGGGCCAAAATCCATCAAACCCATGGCCCATAGWCMATGCTTTTTGCATTAAAATCATWCATTTTAAAACCACATACATTATTGTTCATTTYCAAAAACGTGTGAAAATAAGCCAAAATCGATCAAAACCATGGGCTATAGTCCATGCTTTTGACCCAAAAACCATCGAAAATCAATCATTTTTCAAACCTCATACATTATTCCACATTTTAAAAAAGGTGTGAAGATGAGCATAAATCGATCAAAACCATGGGCTATACTTCATGCTTTTGACCCAAAAACCATCGAAAATCCATCACTTTTCGAACCACATACACTATTCGAAATTTTGAAAATATTGTGAAAATGTTCCAAAATCGAACCAAACCATGACTATATTCCATGCTTTTGACCCAAAAACAATCGTAAAATCCATCATTTTTCGAA